ATCAAATGGTGTTTTTATTTCTCAGGAAACAAGCTGTCACCAGACACATAATACACACTAATGAAGAAGATAAATTCAAAAATGAATTTTCAGTGATCGACCAAGAGAAGATAGATGTGAAAGAAAAAGGTGATGTAGAAGAGAAACTGCAGGTGGAAGAAAGAAAAGAGAATGATGGAAAAAAAGAGCACAAAGAATCAACAATAGATGAAAGTACGAATGAAATTGAGGATGAAGTGATGCAAGAAGACCGAGTCATTGATGAGAGTATTGATCATGAGGACAAAGCGATTGATGTAAAAGATGAAGCGATGGAGGAAGACAAAATCATTGATGAAAGCGATTTATTTGACACAGTTGACCAAGAAGGTGAAGACATTGATGTAAACACAAGGAATCAAGACGGTGAGGAGGATGCAGGCAACACAAATGACCAAGAAAATAAAGAGAATGATGAAAAAATTGAGGAAGACAAAGAAGTAATGAAAGAAGATGCTGATAATGGTTGTGAAAAAGAAAATAAATTGTGTAGTGGAAATGAAAATAACAACAGTGTTTGTGAAATAGAAAATGGACAACAGGGTTCTGAGAAAAAGGAAGACGATGAGTTACTAAAAATACAAATAAACAGTGACGGTGTATCTACCCTTCCAGATGGTAAGTAATAGCATAATCAGAATGACACCAGTACTAGGAATAATGTTATTAATATATTTTTTTATGACATTTAACAATTTCAAGCCGCAATTGTACTAGGCTTTTTTTCGGGAAAAGTAACCGAGTTTAATGAGCCAATGCCAAATCATTCTAGCATTATTCCATGGATGATTTCACAGATTGACGCTCACAATAGTTGATTTTCATGGCTCGGCTAAGATGCATTTGCAAACAGATGTAAGATTTAAGCATTGGAATGTTATCTGCGGTCTCGGTAAAATCTTAAATTTTTGAAATCAGTGCAATTGCGGTTTGAGTTAACCCCATGGTTTTTTATTTATCTGTGAAAGAAGTCTTGAAATTCTTGATTATTTAAATCTTTTATCAACATTTTCGATCTAATAATAATATAAATTTACCTTACTTTTTATGAAATGTATGCCTGTATGTGAAGTTTGGACACAACGTTATTTCCTAATGTGTGCCTCTGTTTTAGAAAAGAGAAGCTTCAAATAGATATTATTAAATGTAAAAGTTAGT